AGGAGAGGATTTGGATATGAGTGAATGCCCAGGTGTTTCAATCCATAGAAAAGTTCCTCTTTTGGCTGTTGCAACTCAATGCTATCTCTAATCCATATGAATTTCATGCAGCATGATGGAAACAACAGTTTGCATCATAAACTAAACACTAATAATTCTTTATGCTTGGAACCATCGTATTTAGCCTGGGACTGTATATTTGTATTGTATTGTATTGTGTTGTATTATAGTTTACCAGTAAAAAATAATATTGTGTTTCGTTCTTTGATTAGGACAATGTATAACTTTTATTCCATTAATACTGAAATTTATGAAATATATAATGCATCGGAACAGACATGTATATTAAGTACTTGTCCAATGCCATTGGAAAGCAACCCTGATAATAGTTATTGTTGGGTTGTTGGTGGCACTCGATGAGCTACGTGAGACAGAATGAGGATTGTCTCGTGTTTACCTTATTGAACCATGTATTTTAGCTCCTTATTGGGTCCAAATTTTTAACGTTTATGTTTTTTTCAAATTCATTTTCAATCACACATTTTATGAGAGTCACAATTTTTATCAATTTTTCTATCACGCGTTTCGTCATTTTTGATCAAATTCTACTCAAAATTTTGATATTTAGCCAAACGATACATGGGCTTAATTTTGTGTTCAACATATTCACTAGATGCAAACATTTTTTGAGGAAATTACATGGTTCCAGGCATTTGAAGATCCTAGTGCAAAAATCAGGTACAAAGAATTTTTAATCAAAATTCAGGTACGCAATTAATAATTAAATATTTATATCTACAAACCCTAGTTTTTTCCTTCTCTTTTATTTTCTCTACACCATTACCGTCCCTTTCCTTCTCTCTTCCTCTCATTTCTCCCTCTTCCCTCCACAAATGGACCGCCCGTCGCCGTCACCACCACCATCGACTACCACCTCCAAGCGTCGCTGCCAGCAATCAAAACAACCAACCTCACTCATAACCTCCAACATTAAGTTTATATACTACCCATAATTTTCCTAATTTCGTACCCCATTCGCAACTATCTCAAACCCCTGTTTTTGGTCTGCCTTCGCTGCCTCTGCAATTTACAGCGAACTCGTACAAACAGTCCCTTCACAAATTGACGATCACTCCTCCGTCTCGGAAGGCGACGCAGTTCACAGGAGCGTCGCCTCAGCACCGAAGCTCTGAAACATCTGGTTCGACTTCAGATCTGGCGATTATGGTTGGAGGTGTGGTGGTGTGATGTTGTGGTGTGGTGTTGTTGGTAGTTGTGGTTTGGTGAAGGAGGTTATGATCTTTGATTTGATGCGGTGGCGATGGCGGTGCTTCTGCCTTTGAAAGGGGGTAGTGGTTTGGTGTTGGTGGTGTTTGGGATTTATTTGTTGGGTGGTGGTTATGGTTGTTGAGCCTGTATCCCTGTTTATGTTGTTTGTGGTGGGGTTATGTTGCTGATGACGACGAACTGGTGCTGAAATGTCGTGGGGAAATGTGGTCATGAACTGGTGCTGAAAATTTGGAGCGATGGCTGTGGTGGCGGTGGTGGCTGTAGCGGTGTGATTCTGTTAGTACTGGAGGTGGATCAGGATCGGAGGTCGAAGCGAGGTGTTGGTTAATTTGTGACCAACCATTTTGTTATGTGCTGTGCGTTGGTGGTTATTGTTGGTAAATCTATGGTGGTGGTCGCGTGGCGGTGGCGATTTTGTGGCGGGGACGGCGACATTGGTGGTTATTGTTGGTGGTGTG